GGCATGCACAGCTATTATTCTTGTTTTCTCGTCACCATATTTACACCAATAGCGTAGCTCCATTTTCTGCATATAAATACACACAACCCACAATTCCTCCATTCGCTCTGACGAAGGGCTAACGCTCGAAACGGTGACCAACAGCTCGGTTGGTAATACTTAATTACCTTGATATACTCTCCCACCAACGCCGCACCATAGTTTCTTTAGAAACTTACCCCTTTTATTTTTTCTGATGGTTTCGTTTTATTACCGTGATCAGAATAATTATGTCTTTTTTCCATTTATGTGTAAATGTACTAAGGAAGTTTAAATAGCAAAAAGCCGTTATTTACTTAAGAAGACATAAAGAGAAGGATACTTGTATGCATAGTTATATGACATGGTGCAGGTTTCATAGTCATGAAGAACATTGCATAGTAGAAGCCACAATTAGCATACTCACCTACAAGAAGGAAAATAAAAAAATAAAGAGTCTGCAGTTCATCTTGTGGACGCGTGTATTAACTTTACTTTTTCTTACGTGCAGGAGAGAAATTTTGTCTTTTCGTCTTCTGTTGTCTTGTGGATGCATGTATTAACTTTGACCTTTTTTTTACGTGCAGCAAAAAACATTTGGAAGAAGAAGTTTTTTGAGGAGAAGAGAAAAACAGCTGCATTAGAAGAGCAGGTCAACAGACTGAGACATGAAGTCGATGCTCAACACAAAACTCTAATGTCTTACTTGGAAAGTAAAGGTAATGGTCCTTTGCATGGTGTTTTCATCAATTTGAGTGAGTTTTGAAAGCATTCCAGGATTGCATTGGTTTTGCTCTGTTGTACTCTGTGATTGTTCCAGAAAATTCAAGCCCCCCTCTATGCCAATCATTTGCAAAACTGAATCCAATCGTGGCTTGTTGACCGACATGTTCTCCATGCGTGAGGCGCTTAACTTGAATTTCTTCTTATGCCTCTTTAGAAAGGGAAGGCGGAAGACCTCAAGCGGGAGGGGACTTCAAGTCACCGTCTGAAAAGGTAACATAAGGAACATATTTCAATAACTCCACTTTGTGACTAGTCTTCAAAAATTGTTACACTCTGTCAACCAATAAGTTGTAAGTCAATCGTGACAAGGTCATCTGCGCCTAAAAGCAGTCACGCAGTTTTAGTTAAAGTTCTCATTGGCTCCGTTTAATATTCGTCTTTGTTTTGATTGGCCGCTGTGATTACTTGTACTTTCTTTGTTTGCTGGTAGGTTCTATTGTCTTAGTGAAGTAAATGCTAATTGCCATAACTGAATCGGAACTCAAAATGTTTTTTTTTTCTCTACTCACAGACAAACCAACGCATGTCTCTGGCACGATTGCAGCATGAGGTTGAAGAATTACGGAGGAGAATTGAAGAACTGAAAGCTAAACTTACGGCTGAGATGAAGGTTCGATTCACGCTTTTCTTTTTGTGTTTTGTTTTCC